AGTAGTCTTAATCATCCTATATGAGAACATAAATTGATAGCTAATTTTATTATTGACTTTATTATCAACAGTTATGTTTCATTGAAATGCTCAAACTCGCAAGGAAATGGTTTCGCGCCGACATATATTATATTCTATTCTAAGAGTCATAGAATGCCTTGCCGGACTTTGGGCCCCAAACAGCATCAATACCTAAATAAATACTTAATGACTACATAACTTAATGTTTTGTTTTGTGTGCCGCTGTAACTTTTATTGGCCTTGACTGGCCTGTTGGTATAATGATTAGTGACCCTGACTACTAAGCCGAAGGTCGTGGATTCGATTCCCACCCAAGACTAATTATTGTGTAATAAGCACAATATTTTTTTATGTGTCTGGGTGTAATTTAGCTGTAATATGTATGAATTTAGAAATATATAAGTATTTTTATCAGCAGTCTGGTTACTTAAGTACAGGTTCTGCCTGGTAATTAGGATTATTCAAGCAAGGCAAGATAAATTATGCACACAGACGATAGAAATTTATGTTTTTTTTTTATTTTATCAATTTTCTGCTGTAGGTTTTATAATGAACTTTATATCAAGATATGGTTGTGGTGAAAACTTATAGTTAGATAAAGAAAAAAATTAAAATATAAAATAACAGTACCTAAATAAAAAAATTGGAAAATAACCAACGTCTCGTAAGGTCAATTAGATTTAAATCGCAAGTGATTGTGTTTCATGATTGTGACATTTGGTCGACATATTTCAAGGCACTTTCGTTTTGATATCTCAATTAGCAAATAGTCGACATTTGGTCCGACGCTTGTAGCACACTAAATAAAATAATGTATTGTATTGTTCGCAATTGTACCCGTATTTGTTAACAATAGCCCCTATTCACGACACACATCTGCACATTCTGTATTATACAAGACTATTTTATACAATTATATTCTATCTGAATAGAATAAGAGTTATTTTCCAATGAAGTATACAACAATTTTAATATTTGAATATATATAACAATAATAAACCTTAGTACATTGTGCCAAAGTCTACTTTCATGTTTAAATTATTACAGAATAGATTACCACTTGTATTGCTCGTGACATAATCACATGATTGCCGTAGGTAGCTATTTGGGCTTTTTGTATACTTTATACCCGTTGTAATAAATGATGTAATACTATAAAAAAGTATGGACAACAGGTACATGTTATGGTTAGAAAAAGATAAGAATATAGTGCTTTCTTAAAAACTTTGAACATAGTTTCTGTTCAATGATAATTCGAACACTGATCCCAAAGTAAGTACACATCGAAGAGTATTATCAACTTTCGAGTACCTAATATAATACAGATGTTTCTTTTACGTCAACTGATAATAAAAAAGAGATAGCATGTTTCGACCAACCTGGTGAGATGTCGTGAGATTTGATTCAACCCCCTCCCCCATCCCCTAATATCACGTGATATTTTTAAAATGTATTTTTAGTGTAAAGTCAGTATAAAGGTTCGAGGTGGAGCGTAAACTAACGACGAGAAATAACAACCTCACGGCACTCACAATACCATGATAAATATTATTGTATTAGACTTGGCCATATTTCCGACGAGGATTATATTTTACTTAATTTAACCCAGTTTTCTCGCAATTTTACTCTGTTTCTTACGGATAAAATATTACGTGATGTTTGGCGGGACCCCGACTCCCAAAAGTAAGATTAGATGAGATTCTTCTCGACAGCCAAATCCCAAGGAAAAGCAATGGGCAAGCTTACGTTAAAGAAGAAACAAGTTCATTGCTACGTCACTTTAAGTTGGAAGGTACACTTTTCTTTGTACCTCATCAATCTACTACAATTCGGTGTAGTGGGTTAAGATAGTTGAACTAAATCAGAGGCTCCCAGACTTTTTTCAAAATTTAGCTGGTTCCGGTACCTACATTTCTACCATATTCCCAAGACTCGACAAAAATGTGAAGATTAGATCTAACTAAGGAAAATAGAGAACACCCAAACGCCGCCACAAAAATTTGTCGATCATACAAACATTTGGTCCGACCCGGGAACCGAACCCGAGACCTCAGCACAGCAGTCGCATAAACTTCCACTGCGCCACCGAGGTAGTCTCGTTCTAGCAATTTTTTCATAAGTGTCGCTGTAACCTAAGTAAAGTATTTTAACTAAATATAAAAACTAGATTGACTGATAGCATACTAATATACTTTTTGTAAATACATACATATTTTACATAGAAAACACCACACACAATTATATGGGTAAGTACTATTCATTTGTAAGTTTCATTACTGTTAAAATATTAAAAAAATAGTATATTTCTATGGTTTTCTACTACTTGTAATCCATTTTATTTTAATGTATATAAAAAAAAAATTGACACCTTCGAAAAATTTAGTCAATTCCTAGCATTGTTTACAGGGATTCTCATACATCGAAGGAGATTGTAGTGGTGCCACGTAATACATTGGAGTAAAATGCAATGTAATTCCTGGAGGTTAAGGTTCTTAATAGTTTATGCCCTATACATTTCACCGTTGTTTTGCAAGTGTGTGCAAGTTCTGTACCTATTTTTTTGTATTTTGTCTATGGGTTAAGATATGACGTCATCGGTTTTAGAAGTGTCTTATTATTATGATTTCTATGGTCGTAACGCATAGTAGGAAATATAGATACGGGAAGTATTTGTCTCCTACCGAACTGGCAGTAAGTTTAGTTAACTTGTTTGTCATAATTCACCAACTGCTTCAATTGTGTACAATTAAATTTTGTTAGCTTTAAGTATTTTTACTGTAAACAAGAAGATAAAACTTAACTGATAAATTAATTAAAATATTACATAAATGTTATCATCCTAAATTTTATTTAATAACATAATATTTGATTATTCGTTTCAGATCTTGGTTCTGATAAAAAATCCATGACTTTAATTTTAATACTTTGTATAACTTTCATTTTATCAAACCCGAAATTTGCGCTAGTAATATTATGCCTTTCCTTAGACGGCGGACCTACTATATATGACTACCATATATACGGGCATTTCAGAAGATAATAAAATTATAAAACATAAATTAAACAATATGAAAAACTACGCTGCGATTACTTTGGGAAGCAAAAATCGTTGAGCGCTGAATGGATGTAGATAATCGCACTCAAAATAAGGAATGTAGGTAAAATTCAGTAGAAATTCAGCGTTGTCAGCAGTAGTGAAACTGTTGGGGCATTTAGATAGGTCGGTCTATTTTTAGTTCGTTCCGGCATTCTTGATTATTCTTTCAGTAACTAGTCTTCAGTGATGAACAATGAACAGAAAAAATAGTAAATCTAATACCTTTAAACGAGCAATTCTTGTATAAATATTTAATCTGAATCTCAGAAACGGTTCCAACGATTTTCATGAAATTTAGTATGCAGGGGTTTCGGGGGCTATTAATCAATCTAGCTAGGTTTTATTTTTGGAAAATTTACAAAATAAAAATACCGGGCCAATTTCGGTCATCCATACCTGGATGACCGAAATTGGCCCAGTATTATCCGGTATTCAATTAAATGTCTCCCTGGTATGAAAACATTTGTTTATTTTTGTGTTTGTGTACAAAAGAATAAAATATGTTATGTTTTATGTACTTAATTGTTAATTTTATATCATTCATTACTAACTGTAAATATACTCACACATCTATACTGATATTATAAAGCTGAAGAGTTTGTTTGTTTGTTTGTTTGAACGCGCTAATCTCAGGAACTACTGGTCCGATTTGAAAAATTCTTTCAGTGTTAGATAGCCCATTTATCGAGGAAGGCTATAGGCTATATATCATCACGCTAAGACCAATAGGAGCGGAGCACCAATGAAGAATGTTTCAAAAACGGAGAAAATTTATTACTATTGAGAGACGCAGACGAAGTTGCGCGGGTCAGCTAGTTTAGTATAAATTCATTATTAAAGTATAAAGTTTAAAAGCAACAATAATTTTCATCAATAACAATAAAACACAGCATATTTAGTATACATGGAAACATTTAAACATTTTTGTGTAAGTAAAGTAGTAATTTTATAACAATCTACATTTCATAACACTATAATTCCATTTGAATACTTAATTATGGACATATGTCATGATTTCGATAAAAACACATTTTTTACAAGCCAATAAAATTCAAAAACATTTTCCAAAACCCTAGAGTAGATTTTTAATTACAGGTAAAATGAACAAACGTAAAATACTTACATTATGACTAATTTGTTACATTTAGAATCTCTTTATACAAATAAATCTATATAACCAGAAGTAACATAGGTGTGCATTCTGTATTGTATACATATTCATTTAATTTGTTATTTTTTTGATGGTATGCAAGAAAAATTACATAAGTTCGTTAATGACCATTCTAAAGATAAAACAGACTGCTATAAAACCACCTACTACACTGTTATTCAATATTACATTTTTAGATTGAGCAATACTTTTTTTAGTGTGCAATAAAAAGTACGTATCTATCTATTTATCTATCCTCTCCTCTTCTTTTATCAAGTGTGCCTCGCCGTTACGGACGATGAATAAGAGATATAATAAATAATGATACGATTATGATCAATTTCTCGTTCTATATCATAATTGTAATATTTGATAAGGAACGTCGTTAGTGACCGTTCGTAAAATATATTTGTAAACAGAATGAAGGCCAGACCGCTTAACATGTCAATGGTTATTTAAAAATGTGTTTTATCAATGTAATAAATATTTTAGTTTATAAAAATTTGGTGTCGTTGTTTAACAATGTAAATTATACTAATTTGTCAGCGAGTTGCACGCAGCTCGCATTTTGCGTTCAAAACAGCTCAGCAGCGGCCGTCTGCAGGCGCTGCACACGAGCCTAGATTTTTTACACTATTTAACTCGACACGCTAACTCGTTCAACACAGTACCGCACTACCAGTTATTTAGTAGCAACATAGTTACATAAACGGAATATATTAAAGTTTCAACATGTCACCGAGCAAACAGGAGAACGAAATTAAATCATCAGCGTTGGAACTAATTGGCAACACACCCATCGTGGCATTGGACCGACTCTACACCGGACCTGGAAGGATTCTTGCAAAATGTGAGTTTATGAATCCCGGTGCTTCTATTAAATGCCGTTCTTCTCTTAGTATGATAGAGAAAGCACGCAAATCTGGAGAACTGAAACCAGATGCGCCTGTTGTAGAAGTAACATCGGGCAACCAAGGATGTGGTCTTGCTGTAGTGTGTGCGGTTCTTGGACATCCTCTAACACTTACTATGTCTAAAGGCAACAGTTATCAGCGAGCAATACATATGGAAGCTCTTGGCGCAAAATGTGTTCGTGTACCACAAGTAGAAGGGACATACGGAAATGTAACTCTCGCAGATGTAAAAGCAGTCGAAAAAGTTGGTTTAAACATCGTCGAGGAACAAAATGCGTATTATGTAAATCAATTTAATAATCCTGCCAATGCAGATGCGCATTATGAGACTACTGGACCTGAGATCTGGAGACAAACTGGACATCATGTTGACGCATTTGTAGCTTCAGTGGGAACTGCTGGTTCTTTTGTAGGAATATCAAAATATTTGAAAGAGCAGCGTACAGACATCAAAACGTATGTTGTAGAACCAGCTGGTGCTGAACCGATCAAGGGTGATCCAATTACAAAGCCGCTTCACTTACTGCAGGGTTCAGGATATGGATGTGTACCGAATTTATTTAAATTCGAAAATATGGATGGCACATTAAGTGTTACTGACGAGGAAGCCGTTAAGTATAAGAATTTAATTGGTGAAAAGGAGGGTCTGTATGTGGGTTACACAAGTGGTGCAAATGTAGCCGCTGCCGTTAAACTACTAGAGTCTGGAATGATACCTGAAAATGCGTGGGTCGTAACCTTACTCAACGATAGCGGACTCAAATATACTCCAGTCCCTCAAGAATATATGTAACATAGTGAAGTTTATATATATAGACTTGGGTAACATAATCTTTTACGTATTATTTTAGAATCAATAGTGAATAACAAATTTATTATTAGTAGAAGTAGACGTATGTAAACTGTCTCTAGTGCTTGTTACTAATTTTATTTTAAGTAAAATAAATATATAAATTATTTGAGTGATTCCAATGTGTCTTAATAAATTAAATTCACATAGATATTTGTAAATTGTATGCAAATATATTATTTGCATACTAACAATCTACAAAATATTAGACTTTAAGATAATCATTAATTTTAATTTAATATAAGAGCGTTTATCCTTTTCAAGGGTAATTTTGTTTTTTAAATGTTTTTAGATCCCTTTTATATTTTCTGTGTATTACTCTAGTCTGCTTCTTTGATCACCAAATTTTCTAAAGATATTGTTAAAAAAAGGATAAATGTTCATTAGTTCACTATGTACTAAATGTGCACGAAAATTAGATAATTAATGCGAAGACAACTTGAAGTAAATTTTATTTAACATAGAAATTGATACTCAAGTTTCATTAGCCATATTTCGCCAAAATTGTTATCGAAATATAGGTGCTTTGGACTATTGTTGAATTTAAGTCATTATTCTAATTATAATTGTACTATTTGTATATTGCATGTCGTATAATATATTTAATTTTATTAAATACGATTTAATTTATTTTATTCGATAAAAAAATTGTCCACTGATTAATATTCTCTAATATCTAAGTTGGTTTTGCATTGGAATGCGGCATAACGCGTAGCATAAAAAGTACGTGTATATCTTATTTACATGACGTAACCTTCAAATTTTTATGATAAATAATTTTATAACTTAAGAGTAATAGGCAAGGCTTGAGTCTGTGTGAAGTGGAACGATTATTTAACAATAATAGGAGACTACAGACAAATGTAGACTCCTATACAATCGATGGATGTTTTTTTGGTGACAGTGGTTTTTTTTTTTTTAATCTGCTAATGTAGGTACATAGCTTTAATCAATTGTTTTAATCGTTTTGATCTTAGACAAGCCCCATTAGTAATGATGAGATTAGAAGTCAAGTATTTTTTTAATCTGCTAATATAGCTTCCATCTACTGTTTCAAATCTACTGTTTTAATCTTTTTGATCTTAGACGAGTACCCAAACTGAGGTGATTATGAAATTAGAAATCAGGATATTTTTTATAGATCTGCTAATCTATATTAGAATATCTATAAAAAATAAACTGACTTAAAATTTATATTCAGTCTTATACTCGTATATATACTTCCCACCAGAAGTTATGCAGCTATCTGCTCATAACTCAATTGGATTGGAAGTAATACGAGTGAACGAGAATAAGCAGACCACGATATGCATAATAAGTACTCGTATACATAACCTTATTACACCACTTAGGCGATGAATAAATTTGTAAATAATTATTACACAGCGATACACGTCTTGGGTTTTGAATAACATTATAACATGCAGGTATTTCCGGACCGATACGACCTTCAAACCTTCAAGAAAAGAGCGTACTCCTTCCTAAAAGACGTTCATGGGCTACAATGGTCACTTTCCATCAGGTGACCCGTCTGCTCGTCTGCCCCCCCTAACATAAAAGAATAATGCAAATGAAAAATTCTTAGCTAATTAAGTAAAAAGAAACTCAGCAGGTGAGTAAGAAGAATTGTAGGAGTCCATTTAGAAAGCTTATTAGTTCCAATAAAAAATCCGCAAGAAAACAAACAAAAATGCAAATGAAGTTGTGATTACAAGTATTTACAAGTGACAGTGACAGATCTGTTTTGAGACATTCGATGATGCCACTTAACAGACATAAAATCGATAATCGATATCGTTTTTTGATTCAATATAATTTAATATGAAATAATAATCTTGGAGGGGCATAAAATTATACACGCCTTTAAGCATTTATTTCCTTTTAGTTTTTAAATTATACCTTTAATTCATTTATTATATCTTTAAAGTATTTTTAAGAACACATAAGAATGCGATACATGGAACTTTACGGGTTGAATAGTCTGTGTAGTGTTTTTTTGGCTGCTAAACTATTTCACTTATTCAGTTTTCTGAAAATTGCAGCCAATATGTAGCTTAGTAACTAGAAAAACTCAACTTATTCATGAGAGCAGGACTTGAACTTTTTTTCTATCTTTCTTTATACAGCATAATAACACTATGTGTACGTGTACGTACGTGTACGTTTTTTGATTGATTACTTTACTAACGTTCGCATATATAATATAACAGTCATTTACGAAAATTTAGGTAAAAATATTAAATCTTAATCTTCCTATAAAAATGCATCCGTCTGCTTACGCTTTATAGTAGGTACCTGACCTACGAAGTCTCAAAAATCATGTCATTTCTAGTAATGATAATTCTGTAGTAGGCTCTAAATTTCGCGTCATTTTAGTCGGGTGTCGGTTGATTGTTATTATTTTGTCCCATTCAAGAGCACGCAAGTTAGTTTGAGGCATCGTTACGTCATTTATTCATTGTTTGGTCGCAGTATACCTCTTTCGTATTATCAACATCGGTCGTTGTCGGTTATGGTCGGCATTATTCGGTACCTCTGATGCCGCTGAATTTGGATAGATAGGAATAGAAATTTGTATAGGATTAAACTAACATCGTTGGTCAGCAAAGTTTTTTTAAAAACAGCCCCATTTAACAATAAGTTCGACCACGGCAGGTGACCATTTAATTCATGTAATTTCTTATTCTCAGAAATGCTTTTTAACTAAATTAACTTAAAATAATAAAAATATCTAATAATTATGGCAAATTTATTATTAGGTACAAGTTTCAAGTAACAATGTGGTGTGGCACTCGTGCTTAAAAAACTGTATTTGATTTCTTAAAAATGAAATGGCTTATAAATACGGTACAATATTTTATTCTTTAAATTCTAAATTATCATTTCCCTATGGTTGTTATATGTGTGCACCCAGGGGCCGAAGTGTCTATGATGGGCATTTCTCTTTTTACCCACTGCTTCTAAATGATAAAGTCTTAGAACTATTAATATTACTTAAGGTAGTTTGCCAGTTTTTAAAAGAGATCAAGAAGTATGAGTCGAAGAGAACGAACGGAATCCTTAGTCAGCTTCACTATTATCAACATCTGCCTATTATCATAAGCGTAAATGGATTAGATTTATCTGACACTCTTATCGATACGAGGAGGTACTATCAAGATTTTAAGTAGTAAACGCATTTGCCTGGAAAACACACTACACTACACTACAATACACATAACACTACATTGACAAATGAGCATAACACTTATTTCACATTTTGTTGTAAGGAACTGTTTTAGAAGGGGAGAATTACAACAAAAAGTTTAAATTAAAAAAAGTTTAAAATTAAAAAGAAACTGAAAATCTGAATTCTATAACAAGCACTGATCACTTGATACAATCTCAAGAGTTGGTGTCAATCTCTAGGTGGTATTTTTTAATGTCTTTTTGTAATTTACGGTAAAAGAAAACTACTCGTATCTTCACACAGGATCATTTAAGGCTAACTCTAAAAAGGATAATCAATTATGTGACTGTCGTTTGTCAAAATTAAAAACTCGTCGTATAGTCGTATGACGATTTCGAAGATAAGTTAAACTATCTTGGAATTCCCAATAAACAGGATTCGAACTAAATTGAAAGAGTTAGATTTTATTTTTAATTCGATAAATACAAAACATAAGCGAGAGAAGCACAAAAAAAGGGTGTCTAATTTGCAAAATGTACAATGTATAAAAAAAAATGAATACAATATGGCAGAAACTTCCAAACGTTTAAATTTAATTCTAGTTTGAAACACGCATCAAATCGTTTACTGCTGAACAAAATGATCAACACTTTCACTGTTTGAGATCAATCGCCACTTGTCTCAGCCGCTCCTGTAAAAATCTTGTATATCTCCATTCTTTATTTTTAATTTAACAAGTTTTTATGTCTCCTGCATTCGTATTTAGAATTTTGGAACGATGACAAAAAATTTAATTTATGTCGTAATGCCAGTATTTTGTAGTGCTGATATATCACAATGCTATGTAATTCACAGAAATTAAAAGAATACAATTTATGTTTTCAACTATTTATTAACTTAAAACGAAAGAAGAAGTCCCAAATACTTTTATGATAAGACTTACAATGTAAAGCCTATTAGGTAAGAGAGTCGGTTGACCCCAGACACTGACTAATGACTAAGTCAAACAATACAAAAGAAATGCAACAAGAGAATTATTTTGAACCATCCCTCTTCAACCTTGTTTTGTATTTCTAGACGGCGCCTATATGCAAGAATATTGTTCTCAAATTCGCAATGTGTACGAGTACGCGACTTAGTTATAAAAAGGAACATTCTGTTTGGATGTGGGACAGGGCAAACGCGCTGATGGGTCCCCGGATGGTAAGTGACTATCGCCGCACACAACAGACACAAACAGCTTCTGAACGTGAGAACGTTAATATAGAAAATAATCAAGAACACAACTATTTCACGGTTAAAGAAAATGACAGGATAACAAAGTGTGCACGGCCGAACGTCGTCGTTGTTCATCGTCGTCGATTATGTTCATCGTCATTTTTAGTTCATCATCATCATCAACAGCCATTACTAGTCCACTGCTGGACATAGGCCCCTCCTAAGAAAGGAGGGTTTGGCCTACTATACCAGGCTGGCCAGACGGGTTGGTATAGGGTTTGTTTCAAGTTTTTCTTCTCTTTGCAGTGCTGTTGTCTTGCGTAGTTTGTTCCCTTAGTCGCCTCTTACGACACCCAAGGGATGAATAGGGGTGATGACATTCCGTATTCTTAATCCATCACCACACGGACACGTTTTTAATTAAAAAGGCTTTTGTTTAAATGATTTTATTAAATAAAGGTGATTTTCTAATTAACACTCAAAGCCAGAAACATTGCAAATGTGAATAATTAGGGTCAGTATTAGTGTCTTTAGCTTGCGAGAAAACCACTATTTGGCACACTTTACTATTCAATCCAAAAACCCTTCATTTCTGTACCTATATCTCAAATTGAGATAAACTTCAACCTGAGGTTTAGCGGTAGATAGTTTCTTAACTAACCCGCAATAAAACTAATGGACAGACAGCCGACATGGCGACCCAGGAACCCTAACAATGTAATCTTACAATTTGGCTTAGGTATATATGTCCTATTAGAGTTCAGTTCCAAAAGTTCTGGTAATAAGCATCTCTCCACGTATAAGAATATTTTATAATATATGCAACTGCAACGAATAAGTTCAATTTGCGAGTACAGTGCAAAGCATTATAATTATTTTGAACCTGTGAAAATTCTGTAATATCAAAAACAAATTTAATTTTACTATCCCTTAGAAGGAAATAGAACTGATAGAATAATTCATTAGTTTATTGACAATACAGTAACAATGACTATAAAATATAACAATGAAAATGTTCTAAGGCTGTAAGTGTAACAAACAATAGTAAATATAAAAAGGAACATGTAATTCACAGTAACATCAAGCGTATAGTAATAAATCTCAGATATGCAGTTGACCGCACTACGTCCGACATTTGATTGTCTAGATCATTTAAAAGAAAGCCAACCGTCGCTCGGTTCAGTCTTATACTAACCTGCTAAGTCACGAGTGCTGAGTCAAGAGTTCACCAATTGTTTAGTACCAAGTGTTATAAATAAAAAAAACTGAACAATATGGTTTCAAGCCGGTCCAATTCGATCTCAGAGACAAACGAAATTAAATCTTCTGCACTAGAACTCATCGGTAACACTCCCCTTGTGGCATTAGACCGACTTTACACGGGACACGGAAGAATTATAGCCAAATGTGAATTCATGAATCCTGGAGCTTCTATCAAATGTCGTGCTTCCTTTAACATGATTGACAAAGCTCGTAAGTCCGGCGAACTAAAACCTGGTGCTCCAGTTGTAGAAATTACATCAGGCAACCAAGGTACTGGTCTTGCCGTAGTTTGCGCCGTATTGGACCATCCATTGACAATAGCTATGTCGGCCGGTAATAGTGCGCAGCGAGCAATACATATGGAAGCTCTTGGTGCAACGTGCATCAAAGTACCACAAGTAAGTGGAGTACCCGGCAGTGTAACATCAGATGATCTAAAGGCAGTTGAAGATTGTGGTTTAGAGCTGGTTGAAAAACTGAATGCATTCTTTGTCAATCAATTTAATAACTCGAATAATCTATTGGCACATTACGAAACCACAGGACCCGAAATTTGGAGGCAAACGGGTCACCACGTAGATGCCTTTGTCGCAACAGTAGGAACTGCCGGCACCTTTATGGGTACTACAAAATATTTAAAAGAACAAAATCCCGCTATTAAGGCATACGTTGTGGAACCAGCTGGTGCTGAAGCTATTAAAGGTGATCCGATCACGAAACCCCTTCATTTGCTTCAAGGTTCCGGATACGGTACTGTCCCAAATTTATTCAAATACGAGCATATGGATGGTACACTGAGCGTGACTGATGAGGAAGCTGTTAAATATAAAGAATTGGCTGGCGAGAAAGAGGGTTTGTACGTGGGTTACACGAGTGGTGCTAATATAGCGGGCGCTGTTAAATTGCTGAAGTCCGGAAAGTTGCCCGAGAACGCGTGGGTTGTGACTACGCTTAATGACACAGGTCTCAAATATTCACCAAGGAAGTAGATCACTGTTTAAATATATTAATATAATTTGTACTGCAAATGCTTTCAATATTTCTGTGTTATTGGTTTTTGTAACCTTTCTTTTTATTGTTCTTATTAAATAATATAAAATTATTAAATAATTTTATGGGACGACCCCCCCCCCCCCCCCCTGGGACGACACTTTGTGTGATCCACAAATTATTGTTCTGAGTCTAGGTGTTATGGTGTCCGTTTCATGTATGTTTGTAAAGTCCACCGCGATTTCCTCAGATTTTGAGTATTTTTTTCGCATTATGATGATTTTGAGTATTTTTTGGTGCCATTTTCTTATTACTTACTTACTACCTACTTACTTAAACGTACTTCCAGCCACCTTTATACACGTACAAATAATACGCACTTACTTGTTAAAAAACGTTGATGAACAAGGTTTATTTTCTGTTCATCGATTTGTAAGTAGTAGATAAATAACTTAATGCACAAGTTGTATATTAATTGCATGGATGGTGTAGTGGTTTAAGCGTAACCTCGCTGCTTCCTAATTCACAAGGATTTGTGATATCCAAAAATTATTGTTTTGAGTCTGGGTGTTCTTTGTGTCCATTTCGTGAATGTTTATAGAGTCCCCGTAGGAGATATCTTTTCAAAAAAGGAAAAAAGAAAGAAGGTATACAGGCGGACTTAGAGGCCAGGGCATTCTTTTCCAGCCAACCTTCGGATGATGTGGATATAGAATGCAGTAGGTGCATAGATATTATTCTAAATTTGACATTATTTAGAATTAATCAATCATCATCACCAACAGCCTTTAATAGGCTACTGCTGGTCATAGACGTTTGGCCTACTATACCACGCTGACCAGACGGGTTAGTACAGAGTTTTTTTCAAGCTTTCCTTCTCTTTGCAGTGTTGTCCTGCTACTCCTTTAGTGGGCTTTAACAACACCCACAGGATGAATAGGGATGGTGTCACTCCGTATTCTTAGTCTGTCACCATACGGTATAACCGTGTGGTGGCGGATTATACATATGTTTTATAAAAATGCGGAATACACGGCGAAGAAGTTTTTAGTCACAAATTGTGAAGATTACTGGTTTGTAACAGGGTAAGATTATAACTGGCCTGTTGGTCTAGAGGTCAGTGAACCTAACTGCTAAGCCAAAGGGATCGGGTTAGATTATTACCCGAGACAAATAATCATGTGATGAGCACGATCATTTGTTTTGTGTTTGAGTGTAATTTATCTATCATATGTATGTATTAAGAAATATATAAGTATGTTTATCAGTAGGTGAGTAAAGACATTATTATTATCACATTATTAGCCAAGTGAACTGTTAAACCTTACTAACTGAAAGTAATACATGCACATGGGTAAAGTCGCTAGCGAAAACATTCCTAAAGATAACCACATGTTTAATCAATGTTCATTACACCTGAATGGCAATAACTTGTTTGAATATAAATGAAATGGAAACAATCTAACCCTGATAAACCGTTATCGCTTGCAATCACATCACAGGTCAATCACAAAACAGCTGATATAAGTGACATTTATCAACAACATACGTTTGATAATTTCTATCCGTGTGTACTGGATTTAAAATACGGAGTCGCACCATCCCTGTTCATCACGTGGGTGTCGTAAGCTCCAACTAAGGGAGCAAACCACTCGAGACAACAGCACTGCAAACCTCACTATACAAACCGGTCTGGCCAGCGTGGTATAGTAGGCCCAAAAACTCCTTTCTAAGAAGAGGCCAATGTCCAGCAGTGGACTTCGAAAGCCTGTTGATGACGATGATTAATAAAGATCACAACTTTCGTAATAGTATACATACATTATAACGTGCGTAACAGAAAAACACCCTTAAATTAATAGTCTTTTACAAAACACAATACAAAGCCGCAAGCCATTGTTATTTTATACAAGTGGAAAAACTGAGACGCTATAGGTCCAAGCATAGGTCCAATCTAATATTCGATTAACGATGAGAACTAGGTTAAGTAGAGGTAGTTACTTGATTTTACGCTTTGGCCTCATTAAATGACCTGCATCAAATGTCGTGCTGAGCTGGATGCCAACGTGGTATACAACAATTGCATAGAAATACTTGTGGCAGAAGTAATTTGTACTCTTTGCTTTGCTTCACAAGGACTTCGATTTTAGATTACCCAAGAAGAACAGAAGTTGTTCCATCTGTTGCCACTACATAGAGCTCCGTGTAATTAGAAATAGTGCTGGAACCACTTAAGGAAAGTATTTTCACTGTAACTAAACCAGATTAGTTGCTATTTGTTGCCATCAAGTGATAGATACAAAATAATATTTGCTAATATTTTGCTACTTTAATACATCACTAGGTAGGTAGGTTTTCATAGTCAAAAAAAGACACTGTTTGTCTAAATTAAATTATTACTGAAACCTAGTTTCATATACAATAGTCCCAGTCACAATAGGCTTAAACCGAAAATGTAAAATTCCCACGGGCGCACAGGTGCACGGGAACGCAAGCGCATACAATACGGAGCCACGCTCGCATTCCAAGCGACGCGCGCACATCGCGCACCGACTGAACAACGTCGTGACTGGTAGATATTACACGTTACATAAAATGATCTAAAAAAAACTGTGCTTAATTTATTTATACTTTAAAATTTAATCACAAGTTTTGATTTTTAGTATCTTCGTATAAAATCATTTAATTCGTTCATCCAAACATTTGGCAACAACAAATTTCATTTCAGGCTTAGGTAATTCTTCTTATTCTTCTTTTATTCAGTATATAGAAATATTGTCGACAATGTATATCTAACTATTATTATCGATGACTAATTATTATGTGTCAGAAACACTTCGAAAGCTATAGCTATTAAGATTATAATAATGTTATAAATTAAGCATGTTGTGTGTTGTATAAAGACGAAACACAGTTTCTCATCAAAAATTAATATAACAATTTTAAGTTGGTTTGTGTACGCTTCAAAAACTCAAAAAGTTCTGCACTAATTGAGTCAGATTGCGACACCATTTCAAAGATTTTTTTATCTCTTTTTCACGTCAGTTTAGTAACTCATTTCTCATCAATGCAACCACAATATGCCACAGTGAAGTTTGGCAGGGTACAGCTTATTTTAAATAAAAAAGAGATTCGTGACACAAAGTATCGTAACATGTTATTGAGTAAAGTACAAGCCGTTGTACCCTGTTGCACTAATCAGGATACACACGTATAAGGTGAGGCGAGTGTAAATGCCACCTTACCATTTATCGCACAAGTTTCGTGATTTGAACACAAATGATAATTCTAGTAAGTATACACAAATGGTTAAGTATCTGTTACAGGTTTTACCTGACGTTATATAACATATGCTTGTTTTTTTTTACTTTTGCAGTTTATTTTATTGTACTACTGCTTATATTATGCGAAGTACAAAAAAATATATCGCTTCGGTATGTGGTTGTGTTAAAAATTTCCATATTTAAATCAATATTAGGTGAAGGCAGTGTCAAAAGTTACTAAATAAACAAGTCCAATTGTAACCATACCAAGTCGAAAAGGCAGTGTTGAAACGTAGATATTCGGACTGTTGAAGCATTCACAATCCGAAAGGAATTATGAGGATAGAGCGGGAAAGTGCCTAAACTGATATGTTATGGAAACGTAACGTCACCATGTATTAATACTAAGTTCGAACCTAGCAAATACTTTTTAGTAATATTTTTTGACCTATTATGACACCTCACCAGATTTTATTTTCCCAAGTTTCTTAAAAATTCTTCTCATATAGTGCGACTGCTTCCACCTTCATTTTGGTATCCCGTTTTTGAAATACAAATATTAAAAAAACATATTCGAAAAGAGTGTAATTTCATTTTATTGCTAGGGAAACCCAAGTCTCGCAAACTGCAATGCAGTTCTTCTACAGCAAAATGTATAGGTTTATTTGTTACTAAATTTGTGTGACAACATTTTTAGTGTCGTTATTATAATACTAGACATCTTAATTTCTTTAGTATAATATTTAATAAAACACCTTTTTTGTGCTGTGTTAAGTATAAGCAGATTATAATGACCATAAAAACCTCGGTCTTATTCCTTGCAAGGCCGTTTCGAAGACTTTAATGAAAATTAAATTTAATACATGAGCATTAACTCTGCAGTAAAAATAGTTGCACTAGCTACTGTACCTTAACTGTAACTTAATAATTTATTATTCTATTATACAGTAATTAAGTTTGTTTGTTTTAGTGGTCTTCCATAGGCCACCTCTTTGCGAGCGACCGAATTTTGAAATATAAGTGAGTACTTTAATGCTATATGTACTCGTGTACTCGAAACAATTCGAGCCACTTTTTTCTCATTGTTTCTTATGATTTATGAAACAACAAATCTGGTATATTATACAGATTTAGACGTGACAGATTTAACTATCGCCTACCTTTACAACTAGGTACTTACGGTTGTAAAAAATAAGAAAAACAAAACAATAAAATAATATTTTCTTTCAGTTATATTATATAGGCACTTGTCAAATAAAATGTTAACTAGCTTTTGCCCACGACTTCATCCGTGTGAATTTCTAACGGCTAAAAGTTCTCATGTATTTGTCTATGATTATATTTAATTTAATAGACAATAAAAATTAAGAGGTGACTGAAATAAGTTACTATTTCATTTAGTTGCCAATGCTATTAATCTTTTGTCTAATTTACAATAATGCTTCTCTATAAACAGCATTATCCGTATAGCCGTCGGGGATCACAGCATACAGTTTCCTAAGATTACTAACACGCCATACAGCCACATAAAGCTGACCATGCGAAAAACAATCAATAACTCATTAGACATACCACAACACATTAGTGAAACCATTTCTGAAATTACTAATCCATTTCTGAATCTAAAAACTGTTGTTTTAAGTTCTGTTGTTTTAATAAAGACCTCCTTTATTAGTTTTTCTTTAATATCGTTAATGTAAAGACATCTACCTGTTACAATTTTATTATATGCACAG